GATTAGTTGACACCTCCAGCCAGGCTTTGGAAATTAAGCCGTGCTGGAGCAGGAGGCGGATGACAACTGCTTTATTCACTGCTGATATATAAAACTGAAAACACGGTCCGGGTACGGTATCAGGATATATTGGCGGTGGCGGCCGAAACCGCTGGTGGTGGATATGCAGCGAGTCCCCAGGGGCATTTGGGGTGGTCATGGGCAAGGATGGGTTTTGGTGCTGTGACTCAGCCCTGGGCAGGGATGTCTAAGGGCTCAGGGCCGGGCTTTGTGCTGGGTTTGGCTTTCACGTGCAATCGGCTTTGAATAAACCTCCTGCACCAGCCGCTGCGGTGGGTCTCACATGGACCTGCAGCCTTGGGAAGGCAGGGACTTAGACCTGGAGCTTGTCCCTCAGCTTTGGGGTTCTTGTGTTTGCAGATGACTATCAAAAAGGGTAGGAGGAAGATGGTTGCTTTCCCCTCCGTGGCGTAGCTGATACCAGGAATGTGTCCGCCCTCACGCAAGGAAGAGCCTCCCACTCCGCACAGGCAGTCCCATGGGTCCACTCCCGCTCCGCAAGTGGGGATGCTCGTGGTCCATCCCTGCAGCACAGCAGCACGCTGGCCTGCCCAGGACCTGGACAACCATTGTCCCAACCCCCGAGCTGGGAGGGCTCAGATCCTACCACGCCGTGTGGCCCCTAATGCTTGCAGCACCGAGGAGCTAAGTCGACGTCTCCATACCTGGCCGCTGCTGGCCGGTAAATCCCGACTCTTCTCACCCTGGGGTGAACATCGCTGAGGTTTAGCAGAGCGATTCCCCACGTGGGACCCCCGCCTCAGCACCCACCTGGAGGTCAAACGGGGACGAGAAAAAACCTGGCAGCGCTGCAAAGGGTGGTGTGAATGACACTGGGCGTGTGGGGCTTGCACCCCCTTTCTGGCTGGTCAATGCCCTTTGTGGAGCTCTGCCACTCGGCCGCTTCCCTCCCAGGGGGCTGGGGCAGCGTGAGGTGGCATTGGACCAACACAGAGCCTGGATAAGACCATCAGCCTCCATCTGCGGTGTCACCCCGGCAGCCCATGCCAGGAACAGGGCAGTGTGGCTTTACCTGCCCTGTCCCGCCACCATCCGGTCTGTGCCACGCCAGCTGGTGCAAACAGATCGGCCAGATTAGCCAGTGCTGGGTTCCAGTTTCTTCCCGGAGCTGCCAAGAGCGAGTGGGAAGTTTTCCATTGCCCGAAGTGGCTCTTTGTGCCCTGCAAACAGTGAGACATCCCGGGGGGGGTATTTATTTAAAGTTAAAAGCACGGCCTTGCCGCGTCTTGGCAGGGCTGGGAGCACGTGGGCTACCGAATGGCCCCAGACAGATCTGGCATCTTGCCGCCCCTGCCAGCCCCGTCCCAGCCTGCCACTGCCAGAGCTCGGAGAGAGGCTGTGGCTGCACTCAAGGTCTTGGTCCCTGGGAGGTGACTTTGTAGCCCATGGGCTGGGGCTCGGTGGCTGTGCCACCTCTGGCACCCCCTGAGAGCTCCTCACCCTGGCACATGGATGAGGATGGGTCTTGTCTTTTGGGAGCCCACCAGCCCAGGGCTGAGCATCCTGTACTTTTGGCAAAAAGACAGCGAGAACAGCCGTGCATGGAGCTGTGACTCCCTCTGGTGCCTGCCCCGAGGCTCCTGAGCTCATCCTTCGCTCTTTCCTTATCCCACAGCCCCAGGGATGGAGGGTTTGGGGTGCCCTGGCTGGCCATGGGGCAGCCCCGCTGTGGGTGGGCAGATGGGTGAGTGGGAACAAGAGCCAAACTCCTGGCTTGACAGCAGCTGTGGAAGCTGCTCAGCCGTGGAGCCCGGGATATGCCAAGCACCCTTGTGCCAGGGCTTGAATTTGGGGGAGACGGAGCTGGTTTTGGGGGTGATGAAGACAGGGCTTTGCCTGCAGATGGAGCTCCTTGCTTGGCCATCGGGTTCAGGGAGAAGGTTGGGGTGAGGTGTTACACTGCAAATTTCTTCGTCTTGAGGACCCTGTGCCTCTGACAGACCCCAAAAGGAAAAGAGGATGATGCTTAAACTCTCCCTGCTGGGGAGGGGATGGTGGTAATTAATCCCTCATTAAGTTAACTACCCAGATATGCCTGGCCTGAAAGTGTGGGGGGGAAACCCCACCCAAACCCAGGTATTAAAAAAGTGAATCTCTGCAGCCCTAGTGATGCCAGAGGAAGGTGGGGCGCTGGTTTTGGGGTGTCTGGCTGCAGCAGCTGGGGGAGCTGATGGTGCCCCATTGCCAGCCCCTGCAGCGTGCTCCTTCCTCCCTCGGAGGAGGAGGAGGGCGTGCCGGGTGGGTGGCCATAGGGATGAAGGGACTGCCAAGGGGGCTCTGCGAACCCACCACAGCCCTGGGGTGCAAATACTGCAACTTTTGCAAACAGCTCCTGGATTTGGGGCTGGAAACGGCCCCTTTGGGAGCTGCAGCAGGCTCTGCCTCATAGGCTGGGGGAACCTCAGGGGGGATCAGCGGGGAGAGGTTGTGGCTGCTGGGTCCTGCCAGCTTGGTATGCGTGCCTTTGTGACACACTAAAACGGCCCATTTTCCCCTCATTTGGGAGCAGTGACATGGAAGGACCCTGCTGGGGCCCAGATTTGGACTTTTCAGGTGCCAGCTAGGGCTGGGCTTGGTCCTGGGGGCAGAGGGGCTGGAGGTCAGATGAGGGCAGCGGCTCGGGCTTAATCCTCGGGGCTGGCAGTGGGGTCTGCTTGTGGGACCCCTGTGCTGCCCGGGGTGAGGGATGACTGCGGGGTCAGCAGCCGTCGGCAAGAGCTCGCTGCTCCAGGGATTATGCTGATCCCCTCCAGCTGCCCTGCTGTGCCGAAGGATTTCTGAGTCTTTAATGTGTTTTTCCTGCTAAACTGGAGGTGTTTGCAAGGGCCAAGTCAGCATTTGCTTTCATCCCTAAAATCTCAGCTGGGTCAGTGGGATTGCATGGCTTGGCCTGTGTGTGGTGGGAAATCTTTTAACCTGGGGTTTAAAAGTTTGTTTTGAAAATGGAGTTCTGCAAGGAAGCAGATTTAGGGCTAGAACCCCCAATCTGCTGGCCTTCCTTACAGCTTTGCAGACTCCTTACGGCTGCTGCTCTCCCGTGAGCCTCGTGACTCCCACCTTTGCGGCAGCTCAAAGGGCAAAGCTCTTACGGGTTTGACGCTTTTCTCCAGAAGCCAAAATTCAGCCTCTCCCACATGGCTTTCAACCCACTATTTCTTCTTTTCTCCCAGGTGGTCTCTGGTCCCAGCGGTGGCACGAGACCGAGCAATGCCACGTGCCTGCCTCTGCTGCCGGCTGCAGTGGGGTCCTGACGGCTCATGTTGGTCTTGGCTGTGGGGCTGATCCCCACCTCCTCCTCCTCAGCCACCACCACACAACCAGTTCTGCCCCGTTCTGTGCTTGTGCAACGGCAGCTCCACCACTGCTCACCTTTGGCCGTGCCAAACGGCAGCCTGGCACCCTCGGAGCAGGGCTTTGTCACCGTGCTGCCACTGGCCCTCGCAGTGACATCCTAGGTGTGACGAAGGCACCATTCAGGAGCAGACCCAGCTCCCCACCTGGTGCACTCTTTGGGTCTGAAACCCGCCTCTCCCTGGCCCAGCAGCACCCATGGGTGCTCTCCCAGCCACAGCTTCCCTCGCTAACGAGCGGGTGATGAAAGCCACGCTGCGTATCGGAATGAATCACTGACCTGGCTGGCTGCAGCCAGCCCTGCAGCTTGCTGGGCTTCAGACGCTGCTGTAATTCGTTAGTGCTCCTGGCTCTGGAAATGATCTTTCGTCATACAAGCCCTTACAGTAGAAGTGAAACCTCAGCAGGTCTCTAATGCACCCTCGGCTCTGCACCTTTTGCAGCAGGTGTGATTTTTTTTTTTTTAACTTTTATTAATTTTTTTCTAGGGTATGATGACAATCCCCTGAGGCTTGGGCACAAGGTTTGCTTCCCTGGGAGTCGCTGCATTGATGCGCTGTTACTGGAGGCGCTGTGTCTGTCCCAGTTCGAGGCTGAGGTACCCCAGCAAAGAGTATAGCAAAGCAGCCTTGTCTATGGATGTGCTAGATGTCAGTGTTCGTCAGGGTTTTGGTGGATTAGTTGATCTGATTCGGGTTTTGGAAATAACAATGCAAGAAGAAATCCAGTGCCACACCAAGAAGTGATGTGTTTTTAGCCTTCCTCCATAAAGAAATGGGGCTTGGGAGGTGCTGGTCTGTGCATGAGCATCCCCAAAGCTTTCGGGGTGCCTGTGCTGTGTCTGTGTGATTAGTCAGGAGGCAGCAAATGGAAAAAGGAGGAAATTCTTACAAAATTCCTAAAAAACAGCCCAGAAGGGAAGAGAGACCCTGTGGGGGTCAGGGCTGGGTGCCTCAGCTGCTAGGCACAGGGCTGGGGTGACCTGGTCCCTGGCAGGTGCCCCTGGGCTCTGCAGTCGTCCCCCCCCCAGCACAGAGGGTGCTGAGCAGCTCCGCAGCAGCGATGTGGGCAGGCAGGCAGGTGCAGGCAGGCAAGCTGCGCAGCCGTGCACCGCCCCCTCCTTCCTACAGCCTTGCCGTGGAACTTGCTGTGAAAAAAAAAAAAGCTGGTTTTCTCCCCGAAACGGCTCCTGGCAGGACGGGCAATGTTTGCTCCCATGCCCTGGCAGGAGCGAAACCCTATCCCCACCCTCAGCGCTCTGCTTGGGTTTCTCAAGGCTATTTCTGGCACTCGGCTCCTTCACCTCCAGTGTTTCCACTTCTTCTCTCCATCTTTTTTCCACTCCTTCCCTCCCCTGCTGCTCTCGCCTCCCCGTGCCCTCAACCGAGCGTCCTCCCCATGGCCCCGCCGCGACGGCTGCTCCCCGAAATGGGCCGCCAAGGCGCATTATTGCCATTGCTAATCTGCATTCGCCCTCCTCCCCTTCCTCCTCTGCTCCTCCCTTCTCCAAATCATCGCTGTACCGCACACCGTGTGCGGTGCCGCACGGACTGGCCGGCTGCCCCGGGATGGCCAACACCAGGAGAGCCACCGGCCCGGGGCTGGCGTGAGTAGGGGGCTGCGGTGGCTGGGGTGTCCCTGGGGTGGGGGGCTGGGTGGCGCTCTGGCCATCTCCCTGGCTGCCTCCTCCTCGGGGTGTTTATTTTTTTCCCGTCCCTGTCCTTCCCATGTCCTTCGGCGGCAGCGGGAGCCGGGAAGCCCATCTGCGGCGGGTCGGGGTGCTGTGGGTGCTAATCTGGGCGACCTCTGCTTGGCAGGGAGTTGTCACTGGAGGATGGGGACCTGGTGAGGCGGAGGGGACAGCAAGTCAACAGCAAGGTCAGCGGTACCCCCCAGCTTGGGGGGACGGGGGACCCCCTGCTCCAGGGCACGCCGGCACCCGATGGCAGTGGGACAAAGGTGATGGCAGAGGGCTGGGAGCCAGGGCCGGCACTGGGTGATGGGGACGTGACTCCCAGGGGGGCTCCACGGCAAGCAGAGCAGCACGAGGAAGCCCTGATGGCTGAGCTCTCGGAGCTGGTGCAGAAGGTAGTGAGGAGCAGCAGCTGGTGGGAACGGCACGGCGTGGACATCGGCATCCTCACCTGCAGCTTCCTCCTGCTCCCAGCAGGTAACCCGGCTCAGCCCTCCCAAACCGGAGCCATGGGTGTCCCAGGGGGTCCCGCTGCCTCCTCGCGGCTTTTGCTGGAAGCAACTGGTACAACTTTGTGCTGGAAGCCTATTAAGCCTGTAATACAGCTGCAATAACCCCTTCACCCCGTGCCATGGGGCATCCTGACCCCACTGGGAACCCACAGCGGGTGCCGGTGGCAACTGGGATACGGCCCGGGGTGAAGGGATGGTGGCACCTGAGGTACAGCCTGGGGTGAGGGGATGGTGCCTGGGCAGACAGGCACAGGGCAGAACAGGGAGCGGTGTGCCCTGTCTGTACCCCACCATGGGGCAGGGAAACCCTGGTGGTTTTGGTGACAATGGCCACAGCCATGGTGGGTGCAGGGGGACACGGTTGAGCGCAGGGCTCCGGCAGCGCGGTCGGAAAGCTGCAGCTGGTGTCTTCTTTTGCTTTTGAACTCCTGGGGATACTGAAACCCTGGCAGAGTAGTATGTCACCAGCAGGATCCCAGCCAGAGCTGTGGGATGGGACCTGGCACCCGCAGCGCCCGGTGCCATCATGGCTGGAAATGGCCAAACCTTCAGCACTAAGGCGAGCGTGGCTGGTCCAGCTGTGCTGGGCTGTTTGGAGGGAAGTTTTCCAGCTTGGGCAGTTTAAATACCTGTAACTACGCCTGAAAAACAGGTTTAGGGCAGTGGCCGGCATGTCCGGGTGTAGCAACACCTCCACCCGGCTTAGAGGCGAGGAGGGCTGCAGCATGGGTCCGTGGCTGAGCTCCTGCCTGGCTGGTTTCTCCACAGGGTTCCTGTGCCTGCAGTCAGCCCAGGCCATCCCTTTTCTGGTGGGTGTCCTCACCCTTGGTGTGGTGCATCACACCTTGACTGTGAAGGGCAGCCATCTGGCCAGCCACAACGCCTTGACCGAGTCCAAATCCTGGGGCAAAGTGTGGGCCGTCTTCTTCATTGAGGTGAGCAGGGCTGCGGGATCCAGGTGACAGCCCCCCAAAAGCCCCTTCAACACCTTGCCAGCACCCCAAGCCCTTCAGGAACGGCCACTGGAGAACAAGATGGATCCAAATCCTTCCTGATCCATGTGCAGGAGGGTTAAATGAAAAGTGATGCTGCACCAGGAATGTCCCTGCTTGTGGGGCTGTGCCTGGAAGCAGCGGAGTGGGAGGCTGAAGAGCGGGATAATGCGTTGTGGGGAACAGTGGGAATTGTTTCCAGTCTATTTCCAGACTGGTTTGGAGCCTATGGGGTGCAGAGCATCTCCCCTGGGTGCCTCTTCCTGGGTGTAGATCAAGACCCCTCAGTACCTCTCCTGCGACTAGGTGGTGCCTGGCCCCTGGTGCCACGGCTGTAGGCATCACTTCTCCCTCCTCTTCCCTCCCAGCTCTGCTCAGCTTTC